GGTCAATTATCCATAACAGATATCAATAATCACACAAACCAAAACAGTTTCCAAAACAGGTTCCAACCATAACAGCCTTAGGAATATATGCACAAACCAAAACAGGTTCCAACCATAACAGACATCAAATATACAAGTTCCAACCAAAACAAGTTCCAACCATAACAGACATCAATAATCCCACAAACCAACAACCATGTCTGGACCATTAAAGTCTTCCATAACATTCAGGGATGAAAAAAAAGGATCTTTGACAAAATGGCTCCTCTGTTGATCTTTCATCCTCCTCCTACGTTGTTGTACTCAAGATAGTTTGGCAGGTTCAGATGCTTGAGATGGTTGGGATTGAGAAGCATCAGCTGCTTGAGATGGTTGGGATAGAGAAGCATCAACTACTTCAGATGCTTGGGATTGAGAAGGCCCTTGGAAAACACTTGCTTGTTTCCTTTACCTTAATTGCATACTCTGTTGTCCGCTACTTTGGTCTCCACCATCTCTCCTTCTTACCTAAAAGAAATAATAATTAGAAGTTTCCATGATATGAAATTTTGATTGGTGAAAACATAGTTGAAACCATAGCACTTACTGCAAGTTTTTCCTTGGCAACTTTCCTCTTCCTAGTAGGCTTTATGTTGGGATATCTACGTTCCTAATAAGCTAAGTCATCAAGTCAAAAACCAAATCAAATACATTTAAATGTTATAAAATAAAAAATAAAAACTCTCTCTCTCTCTCTCTCTCTCTCCTCTCTCTCTCTCTCTCTCTCTCTCTCTCTCTCTCTCTCTCTCTCTCTCTCTCTCTTTCTTTTTCCCCCCCTCGCAACCGATTTCTTCTCCCCCCCCATTCCTCATGACCACCACTTACCCCCTTGAACCTAGCACCCTGGCCCTAGCCAGCAACTGCAAAAAAGATAAAACAAAGAAATCATCCACAAAACCCAGAACCCCGACAACTACAGAACCCTAGCAACTACAGGAAAGAGAAAAAAATTCATCCACTGAGGCTTGTTTTTTTGTTTCTTTTCTTTCCTTTGTTGTTTGGTTTTATTGGAGGATTTGGGTCTGATGTATGTTATCTCATCAAATAGATGGGTGTGGGGGAGAGAGACTTGGAGTCAAGATTCCACATCTAAAGGAGAAATCGGTGGGGTCTAATGTGGGTTATCGGGTGGGAGAAGAAATTGGTGGGGAGGGGGGGGGGGGGGGGGAATTGGGGCTGTGGTGGGGGGAAAGAAGAAATTTTAGAGGGGGAGGGAGAAGAAATCGGGAGAGAGAGAGAGAGATGAGATTTGTTTTTTACATTTTTGTGTGAAAATATATTTTTGCCCATGTCATCATCTTTAACAGAAAAGTTGACTGAGAAGCATAATTAAAGTACCACCATAACAATTTAGCAATATGAGGGACGAAAAGCAAAAGTTTGGTCTTAGTCGAGGGACCATTGTTACAATTTAGCCTTTTTTTTTTTGCAGTACTGTAGTTTTGTAGTTTTCCATCAAACTCATGCTTTTAATGCTCCATTCAACGTAGTTTGGGTTTCTTGTGATTTTTGGCTATTGATTAACCCAACTGGGGTTTTCCATAAGGCGATTGATCTTCACATACATAATATATTTGCAGGAGAGTGGGTTTTCTTCTCTTTTTTATGTTTAAGAGAAAATGGTGCAATTAAATTAAATGTGCGTTTAAATGTAAAGACAAGAATTAAAGTGTGATAAGATAGATCAAATCGATAAATGCACATAAAATAAAGTAAGAACGAAATAAAAGCGATAAGAACGATAAACTAAATTAAAACAAGAATTTAAACTTCATGAAAATGCGATAACAATGAAAAGTAAAGCAATTGAAATAAACTTGAATTTAAAAGACAAGAAAATGTAAATTGAACGAAAATTTAAACTTACAATGGGAAAAGGAAGAACTTGCTACATTAGGTGCTTGAAAAGTAAAATCCTAAATCTAGGAAAAGAAAAGTGCTAGGTGAAAAATAGGTTTGTGTGTCTGGTGATGTGTGTCTTTTGCCTTCGTTTGGTGAGGTTTATATAGGGCGCCTGTTGGCCCACGGGTTGGCCATTGAATGGCCAAATGTCAACTCTTTTAAAACTCTTTCCTTTTGAGGCCACTTGAATCCGTGGGATTACATTGGTGGAAATATTCTGATTGCTTGATTCTATCTTGTTTTTGAATATTCTGAACTATCATCAATCTCCTTGATTTCTTTCCTCGTGAGGCCTCTGCCACTCGCATACACCCCTCCGGAAATCCTAGGCATGAATCCATGGCTTGGACTTCACCCTCCGAACTCATTGGAATTATATGGGGCTGACCCTTATGACCTCTGAGTTCTTGGGAGTTCTAAAGTTAGTCCACCAAGAAAATCCTCATTTAATTTTCATATTCATTTATCAAAAAATATATATATTATATTTATGTGTACGAGCCCTTCGATTACTGAAGTCATCAGTTGCAAAACTCTTCTCAATTTTGGCCGCAACTCCTCAGGCCCAGCCGCTCCTCAAGCCCGGTCATAACTATCAAAACGTTGCGGCCGCCATTTCTCCAAAACTCCAAGCTCAGCTAGCTCTAAACTTCTCTAGCTCGGCCGTCATTTCTCCAAAACTCCAAAATCCGGCCGCCAAACTTCTCCAGCATGGCTGCCATTTCTCCAAAACTCCAAGACCTGGCCGCCAAACTTCTCCAAGGGAAGATCCGGGCACTTTTACATTTTTGTGGGCATATTTGTTTTGTCTAATTTTTGCTAGAGGACCGCTCAGTGTTTAAAGAGAGAGGGAAGCTCGGCTCTTTATGTTTTCGAAGGGTGCTCGGGTTGGGTGAATTTTCACCACCCTCAAACACGTATGAAGATACGCATTGATTGAAGGTTTGCTTCTGGAGGACTCCACATAGGGGTGTGATGCTAAGTGCCAAGACTAGCTTCACTCAGCATGACAGAATGTGATGGACTAAAATGACATCGGGTTCTAATAGGCGAAGGAGCCAGCGAGACTAGTAGAGATGTGTGATTCAAAATTTGTTTCCCATAGACGGCGCCAAACTGTTGATACCCAAAATTGGGTGTCAACTTATATAGAAGAAGTGCGGAGTCTTTAGCAGGATTAAAGGTTATGGACCTTCGACCTAGAAGCTCATCCTGCAGAAGAAAGATGGAAGAAGCAATCGACAAGATTCCGATACCGGTATGGTATTTGCCGAAGACTCTCCGATGCTTAAGTCAGTAAGTGTGTGGCATACAGTAATTTGGGCAGAGTAACAGCAAAGGTGAAAAGTAGTTACCCTTTCTACCTGGGCACTATTCCTCTTTTTGGAGAAATGAAAATGGGAGTTTGCATAAAGTTTTGATGTGGGACTTTGTGCAAGTCACTCTAGTGACGACACATGTTTAAGGCTTAAGTTATGTAGTTGAGAGCTTCGACAATCGCCTTCAGTTGACAATTGCCACATATGAGGAAAGGTGTTTTCAGTAGCTGAGATCATGACGGTGTCATCAGTCTAGGGGTCTGTCTGCGCGCTGATCTCTCATATCGAATGTACTCGATTGATTATGGTACAAACAGCTACTTTGTTTCCCTTGGGATATGTAAGGACCCTCCTGATTATACCAACCAAGTCAATTTAGGCTACAGAAAATAAAAACTCACCATTATATATCAACACAAATATCTAAGCACAAAATTATGCGCTTGTAAATTGGAGGTATAGCCAAATAGGCACCAGTCATAACCAATAATGACGAAAACGTCATAGTAAAGCTTTGTCGTATTCAACTTAGAGAAGTTGTCAATTTTTCATGTGAATGTCCCAGACACAAGCTCCTTTCTCATTCTTCATTCTTCTACAGACATCAAAGGTCAAAGTCAAACCCTTAAATACATAGTAAACAAGTAGTGCCCATAACACCAAATATAATTAAGCCAAAGAAAAAAAAATGACACCAGACAAATATCACTCAACAAAACTACTTTTGAATAAAGCACAAAAAATCAAGCTACCATGTATCGTAGGTTGGTTGGTGCTCTTCAATATCTTACGTTCACTGGCCCTGAGTTATGCCGTAAATATTGCTTGTCAATTCTTGTCTCAGATGTGCATTTTGGTCTTGTTAAATGTATTCTTTGATAAATTCAGGGGACTCTCACTCATAGTATGCACTATACTTATGGTCTTATCCAGGGGCGGAGCTAGAATTGTAAAATTGGGGGGGCCAAAGGAGAAAATACAAGTATATAAAACACCTAAGTATTCAATACTTACATGTTTAGAGCTAAATATTTTTAATTGAGTAATGTCTAATTTGTTTTAGAGGAAATTTTAACTTAAATTCTAAGTTGTTTATTACAAATTCTATATATTATATATAATATAATAGAGGAGTGATAAAAATATGGGGGGGCCAGGGCCACTCCAGGTCTAGGAGTGGCTCCGCCACTGGTCTTATCTCTCTTGTTGGAGTAATTTTTAGGTGTTCCGGGTACACCACGTGGCTGGTGTACCATCCAATAGACGGAAGACATATGGAATATTTGCAATGCAGCCCGCTACATGTTATAAAAAAATTTATATGTTCCTGGTACACCACGTGGCTGGTGTACCATCCAATAAACATAGAACATGTGAAATTATTGTCTAACTTACTGCATTTCTTTTTATAACATGTGGCGGGCTGCATTGCAAATATTCCATATGTCTTTCGTTTATTTGATGGTACACCAGCCACGTGGTGTACCCGAAACGCCCAAAAATTACTCGTATAGTAGGGGTGGGCATTCAAACTGTCCTCTGCTGCCCACCACGTCTCACCCACTAAGTCTCAATGATTCATAGAATCGAAAGAAAAAAATATATGGAAAGAATCAAAAGGAGTTGCAAATATAAAATTTAAAAATTCATAACCGCCCAAGTTTTACTATTACATATTATGTAACACTGGATATCTTTGTCAAAGAGACAAAAATATGCACCCAAAACTTGTACAGTAAATTAAGGTAATGGATAGCCTAGCTCTGTATCCATATCTATTTTCTTGAACTCTTCTTCTGCCTTTGCCAAGTCTCTTTTCGCTGCCTCAAGATCAATTTCCGCAGCAGCGAGGACATCCCTTTGCCTCTTTGTTTCATTCTCCAAAATTTCCACATCTTCTCTCAGTCTATCAACTCTTTCTGCCCTTTTCTTCATGACCAAAACCAATTGAACATGAGGCTCCAGCCAAGCCAAGTCAAATTTGAAGGTCTCAAGCTCTTCCCATAACAGTTGAAGGCGTTTACAAGCATCACGGGTCATATCCTTGGCCTTTGTAGTCTTCAGAAAACGCAAGAGTCGGCCCAAAGCTGTGAATGCACATTGAATAAACATACGACTTCTCTTCTTATGGCACTCGAGCAAGGAAGGATACGACGAACAAACTTCCTCTAGAAATGGAACTAAAGTTTTCTCTACTCGTCCTAAGCCCCTGAAATCGATAAGCTCCCCCAGTTTCTTGGTCTTCTAAAATCTTAATACCATTACGAACTGAAACTTTGACTTCAACAACACACAAGTCATTGATAAGATACCCTTTGTCATGATCACAAAGCTCACTTAGAAGAATGAATAATTTATTGCCCCAGTTACTAACATTTGCCACAAACTCATGTTCTAAATCTGTGAAAATGAATTGTATACCAAGGATTACAAAAACATGAACCAAGAACCAAAACATGTGTATAACGAAGCAGTATGAATGATATAGGAAGCCCGTTAAAGCGAACAGATATAAGAAACAACATAACAGGTAAGAAAATATTCTGACTCAACTTAAACGCCTAATTACAGTATCCACTACAACTTAGGCGTCGCAGCCTAGAAACTAGTTGACATCATATGCTTGCATATATAGGAACATACAGGTGACATCACCAAAAACAACGAAGAGAGTCATATGCATGCCTGACCATCATGAGAAACAATGATCAGCTATGAACTAATAAATGACAATCATCATGAGTGATAAAGATGAATTAACAATTTTAACACAACCATTTGGTGGCATAGTATAGAGTGTATATCTAGCTTGTAAGCCATTCGACCATCCAGATCTTAACTAACGGAGAGATAGGGAGGATTGTTGATACTAGAAAAAACCAGAGTTGAAGTTAATATAGGTGAAGAAATTATTTTTCTTTCCAATGTAAGTTAAAAAAAAACACTAAAAATTTCATTTAACAAGTCGCTTTAACAAATGACAAGCCACAAGATAAAGATATATACCCTTTGTGATTGACTTCTTGCTATCAAGTTGATTAACCACGGTGAGGCTGAACTTGGCATATCTGGTCCACCCAGATGGCAATGTTGAAGCATCTGCAACATCCAAATACAGGGACAAGTAATTTACTTTGTTCCCCTTAGGATATATAATGATCCGCCTGTTCAAACCAACCCAAGACGATTAAGTCTACATATTAACCAATTATTATCCCAGAAAAAGAAGGAAAAAAAAAGAGTCTACCATTTATAACCACAAATGACGAAAACATCAGAATAATGCCCTAGGTTGTTCAGCGTGGAGAAATTGTTGATTCTCCAGGTGAACGTCCCACACACAAGGTCCTCTTCTTCCTCATCCTCCTTCTTCATTCTACCAAGCTCAATCCCATAAAATAAAATAACAAAGAAAAAAGAGTAGAATAAAGCTCATAACATAACGGAGAAGTACTTACCTTCCAACTGACGAAGTGGAAAGTAAATTTGGCAGACAAACTATTCTTCTTTTTAAATCCTTGTTTAATACCCTAAACCTCTGGAAGAGAGACAGTCCGAACACGTCACAAAATATGCCACAAAATATTGAACAAAAACTCAAATTTGCTGATGCTAGAATTTCCCCATTAAAGATAGTAAAACTAATTAGTTTTCCACTACAACTTGGGCCTCGCATGATTGCATATATAGGAACAAACATCACAAGAACAAGAATCATATGCATGCCTCCTCCACCAAGAAATGTAAAAGAGAGAGAGAGAGAGAGAGAGAGAGAGAGAGAGAGAGAGAGATAGAGAGAGATAGGAACATACATATGACATCACTAAAACAAGAATCATATGCATGCTCCTCCACCAAGAAATGTAAGAGAGAGAGAGAGAGAGAGATAGAGCAAAAGTCTCCTTCTTCTAGAAATAAAATGAAAAGAGAGAGAGAGCGAAAATCTCCTCCTATGTTTTAGGTCGGCTAGGCCAGACCAGCTCTAAGATTATATAGAACTTGGATCAATGGTTTGAAATCTTTGAGACAGCCCATTTAAGCCCATGTAAGCCCAACCCGACCCACCCATAAAGTTTATATAATATTGCATTTAATATCACAAGTGGGCTCATTTAAATTCAAGCACCTCAATTGATTTGATTGGTATTGAAAATAGTGGCACATTTATTTGGTAGATATTTGGCTAGCGGATGCAAAATTCTTGTCTTTTAATTACTTCTCCTAGGCACTGGATCTGGAGTCACATGATGTATGGCAACATTATCTCCCAATCAACGACCACACAAACTCTTGAAATAATCAAATGTATCAGTTAGATGCACCCTTGTACAATACAAATGATGTGCAACCCAAGTGATGTATCATGTATCAATTCCACATGTAGCCACATAGTGGGGAGTCACTCCCTAATCTTATTATAAAATACTTAGAAAAAAAAAGAGGCCCAGCTCACCAAGCCTATCTTGGCCCAATTGGGTGCGGGCTAGGCCGAGGCATTTGAAACCTTGGCCTGGCTTGACCTAACCCAAAAAGCATGATAAATCCAGCCCAAACCCAAAATTTTTTTTCCGGCCTGACCCAATGACAAATCCTAGTTTTTATGTATATGGATATGTAGAGAATGTTGTTTAACAATATGTTCAATTGACATTCAGGGTATGTTTGGTACATTGTATTAAACTATGGATAGGAGTAAATAGTCCATGTCAATTGTTTAGTGTCAACTTGTATTATTTAATTATCGGACTATATTAAACGGATTAGGTTTTTAATACTCTGCTTACCCGACTAACTAATACAATCCACACACCCCGGTTTAGATAATACACGCTTAATTATAAGATTAGGAAAAAAAAACTGCTCTACATTTCTTCTTTGCTATCTTCTCCTCATATATATATATATATATATATATCTCTCTCTCTCTCTCTCATGGGTTGATCAGCAGCTAATGACTACTCCGATGAACCTCTAACCCCAGCAGGTCGACTCTTCCTCCAGCACCTAATTAACGAAATAATACATTGTACCATAGACATAGACTCAATCAAGTCCCCTCCTCTTCAACCACAGATTCTCACAATTTTGGTTCCCTTTTAGTTTTGATCGATGCCCATCTTAGTTTCAAGTATGCGTTGTTCAGTGTTAAAGAAATACAGATTTGGATATTCGATTGTGTAGGAAATTATTTGGTACACAAATTGACAGAATTTTTTTTATAGATTTGGTAGACTGTGGGTGTGGGCGTGGGGGTGGGGGCTGCTCATGTTCCAGATTGGGGGTTGGATGTGTTGAGAAGATTTGGGGATGGACTACGATTGAAAAAAATAAAAAAGCCTGAAGCAAAAGACCTTATAGTAGAATTTGGTGAATTTGATAGTAGAGGTTCAAAAATTGGATTTATGTTCTTGGGTTGAATTATTGATAACAGAGAAACATTAATTTCTATGGTTCTGGGTTGTGGTTCTATGCTCACAATCGACAGGATAGGTCCTCCCAAGCGAAACATAATTGTATGCATCCTTGATGATGGAATGGCATTGAAGATCCAATTGATGATATAGAATCGCACTGTAGTTTCATTTTTGTGTGTGTGTGTGTGTGTGGGGTAAATCTAGCATTGTACGTTGCAGGTATAGGATGTCAATATAACTCGATTAAATTAAATTGAGTTACTTTTTCTTTTTTATTTATGGAGTTCAATCCATTTTTATCCGACGAGCACTAAACATAGTATATGTTAGAATTCATTATTTTCATTGTTTTGGATGTTTGGGAGAAAAGAAAAAAACATCACAGCAAGCAGATGAACAAGAGAACTTTGCTCTGTAGAAGAAAGCTGAAAGCTACTGTTCATATATTTCTTTAGTATTCATCTATTTTCGTATATATCATAAGAGAGAAGTGAGATTCTTCTCTAACTGATTTACACAGGGATTTAATCTTAGCCTTTGATCTTATCATTCTATGAGATGATTACACTTGTCACAATCTGACAGATTATATCCTAGGCTAGATAAGAGACCACTTGGACTATAATCCAATGGCTCATGTTGCAAACAGAATTTAAACATATAAAAATGAAATAAAATGCAAACAGAGCAACTCTGGCGCCAAGGATTTCAGCTCAAGGATTATACATCAACACTCCCTGCTAACCCAGCTCAAGGGTTAAAATAAAATGATTTATTAAAAAAAATGTTAATTTTAGTCTGTTGTTTGGTGCAAAAAAATGGACAGGATTGGATTCAAAACCTAGCCAGCCCAATCAAATGCTTTAAAGTCCATCTTAACCAGTCCAAGTCAGTCCATCAAGTGGGGCCTTAAGACATTTAGTTCTTATCTTTTCAATTTTTACAATCACATACCTCGATCTTTTAAATTTATTACAATTTGGTTCCACTGTTAGAGTTTCTGTCAGATCTCTCTGTTAGTTGTCTATGTGGCACTAGGGATCTCACATTTTCTCTTTCTTTCCTTTTTAAAAAAAAAATTTTAAATTGATTAAAATATAAATAAAATAATAAAACTCTCACTCTCGCTCCTTACGCTTTCCCTCTCCCCACCGATTTCTTCTCCCCCTCTCCTCTACTCTCTCCCTCTCCCCCATCGATTTCTTCTCCCCCCATTCTCCATCACCACCACCCACCCCCATTAACCTAGAATCCAGTGTCCCCCACCCTGCAACTACATAAAGAGAAAGAAAAAAGACAGACAACCCCCAGGGTTCATTTTTATTATGTTCAGAATATAATCAATTAGAAAATTTTAAATTTATTTTAATATTTTGATTGCGCTATGCAATTCAATTTTTTTTATTTATTGGGATTCTGATTGTATCTACACATTCTAATTATTGGGGTTGCTAACTCAACAGTAGAGTAACACCCACCCACCAGTCTCCCCACCAAAAAAGGGGATTTCCCTTTGTTGTTGAGAGACCACAACCCACCACCCTCCTCCCTTAGGTTATATAGTTGAGAGCTTCAGCAATCGTCTTCGATTGACAATTGCCACATCGGAAGAAAGATGTCTTTAGTAACTGAGATAATGACGGTGTAATCAATTTACGAGTCTGTCTCCCAAAGAATGTACTCGATTGATTATGGTACAAACAGCTACTTTGTTTCCCCTTTGGATATATAAGGACCCTCCTGATTGTACCAACCAAGGCAATTTAGGCCATAGAAAATAATAAGTCACCATTATATATCAACATAAATATCTAAGCACAAAATTATGAGCTTGTAAATTGGAGGTACGGCCAAATAGGGACCACTCATAACCAATAATGACGAAAACGTCATAGTAAGCTTTGTCGTATTCAACGTAGAGAAATCAATTTTTCATGTGAATGTCCCAGACACAACCTTTCTCATTCTTCAACATCATCAAAGGTCAAAGTCAAACCCTTAAATACATGTATATAGTAAACAAGTAGTGCCCATAACACCAAATATAATTAAGCCAAAGAAAAAACAATGACACCAAACAAATATCACTCAACAAAACAACTTTTGAATAAAGCGCAAAAAATTAAGCTGTCATGTATCGTAGGTTGGTTGGTGCTCTTCAATATCTTACGTTCACTCGCCCAGAGATAGCTTAGAGTAGTTCCACCGAGGCCCCCTTGCCTCGGGCTGGGGAAGTTTTTTTCCAGAGGTGAGCCCAAGCAAGGGCTAGAGTGGGTCCCACGCAACTCGAGCTGGCCCGAAGGCCAGTTCAGCCCGAGGTCCAAAACTCAGGCTGATGCTGACGGCAAGCTGGCGTCAACCCACTGATTTGATTTTTTTTTCTGTTGCCACGTGGCATCGTCTGAGCTCTCCGATCTGATTTTTTTCCTCCAATCCAACGACAACCAATTTTTTTGCAATAAAATACTAGACAAATTTAGGAAAAAATTTTAAAAAACACCCAAAAATTAATGAATTTTTTTCTATAAATACCAGCCAATTTTTTTTAAAATTTATCTTAAATTTGAAATTGAAAATTTTATCCAATTATAAGATATGAATAGTATTGACACGTAGGAACCCGAAAATATTATTCAAATTAATTATTGAGGTAAAAAAAGTTGTGAAAAAAATAAATAAAAAAGTGAATAGTAATTGTCCTTTGCCATGGCAACGGGTGGAAACGGAAAATACTATTTGCAAGGGCAAGTACTATTCACGTGAATAGTGGCTGCCCTAGCTCCCCCATTGCCATGACTAAAGGCAAATGGGTGGAGTTGCTCTTATGCCGTAAATATTGCTTGTTAATTCTTGTCTCAGCCCACTAATGTGCATTTTGGTCTTGTTAAATGTATTCTTTGGTATATTCAGGGGACTCTCACTCATGGTATGCGCTATACTTATGGTCTTATCTGTCTTGTTGGGTATAGTAGGGGTGGGCATTCAAACTGTCCCCTGCTGCCCAGCACGTCTCACCCGCTAAGTCTCAATGATTCATAGAATCGAAAAAAAAATATATGGAAAGAATCAAAAGGAGTTGCAAATATAAATTTTAAAAATTCATAACCGCCCAAGTTGTACTAGTACATATTATATGTAACACTGGATAGCTTCGTCAAAGAGACAAAAATATGCACCCAAGAGAAACTTGTACAGTAAATTAAGGTAATGGATATCCTAGCTCAGTATCCATATCTATCTTGAACTCTTCTTCTGCCTTTGCCAAGTCTCTTTTCGCTACCTCAAGATCAACTTCTGCAGCAGCGAGGATATCCCTTCGCCTCTTTATTTCATTCTCCAAAATTTCCACATCTTCTCTCAGTCTATCAACTTTTCCTGCCCTTCTCTTCATGACCAAAACCGATTGA